CCCCTAGTTACCAAGGAAAAGCTCGTCACTCGCGATAACCGTGGTAAACGCCAACCGGAAAGGCTAAAAAATGATCTGTCAAGCCTTCGAACTTCCTCTGCCGTGCTTTATTCTAACTGCATGTGTTACCTTCCCGCAAGGTTTTCATATCAGTTGATGTTCTTTCTCGAAATTCCCGGTTAATTGTGATATACTTACTATTCGTGTAGTGAAGCTTGATCAGTTTTGTTTAGTTGTTGAGCACTGGTATGAAGAGCATGAGAAATACGAATACGAAACTCCTGGCTGGCAGTGCGGAACGAATTATTTTACTCAAGTAATTTGGAGAGAAACTGAAGAGGTATTTTCCACAACTCCATGAACAACAAGCATTTTTATAACACAAGGCTCTATTTAGGTCGGAATAGGACGAGCGTTTGTAGAGCCCGATACTGTGGAGAACCAAAATAGGAAAACGCCTCTGAGGTTCGCCGGGCTTTGTCGTTTTTAAAATGATTCTATTTTCACATACGACGTGCGTTTTACACTCGCCATCAATGAAGTCAGTCGGGCGTGTCAGCGGGGCGTGGCTATTGGCGCGGTGCTTGCCCGTCTTCCATCGGTCGTTGCGGCTTGGGGCGTTCAATGAGTGCTGGGAAAAGGGCTGGAGCCGCGCCAAGACTGATGACCCGCTGACACACCCAATTGACTTCGGTGATAACGACTGTACATATGTGCTTCATGCCTACTAAATATGATTGTGACCCAAATGATTGGTTACCCTAAAACATCCTAGTTTCAGAAGTGGCAAACTAGCATCACCAGGCGACCAAGTAATTGTAGCGTTCTATCGTCCTGCTGGTAACAATAACCGAGCAGGACAATTTGCTGGTAATGTGCTGAAACCGCTGCGACGAGACGAATCATATACGGAATAAGCAAACCTCATCAATATTCACTTGGATTCAATAAATATTAATTACTTTGTAATAATACTTTATAATTAATTAATTCACAGATGATGCGACCATGAACATATCATGACCAGAGCACATCCTTAGTTGGGGATTTCGGTCGAGTCCTCACGACCCCCCTTTCATATGGGTTTGATACGACCCCCCCCCCTGGTTCCCACATTATCGAGCTGTCGAGAGGGCGGGATGAGGGGGGGGGGGCATAGTGACACGAGTTAGGAACAAGCACGAAATGTCAAGCTTTCTCAGAAGGTCAGGAGGCAAATGCGACCCCCCTCTCCCGACAACAAACAGCTACAACCCCTCTGTCGTCGACCATGACCTCCCGCCTTTATCACTGTAATTTCCAGCTCCTCTCTGACTCTCTGAGGTGGAGCAGAACTGTATTACTTTTGTGTGCACATTCTACTTCCTAGTGGCGTAGGGGACAGTGCTCCCTCGCCGGGGTGGTCTCTCTGTTCATATACACGGGTCAAACCCAGTCTTCAGCACCCTACCTGGCTCCCCCCCCCCTTTACAACGTCCCTGAACAAGAAAAATCTGACACTATTTACCCTTTACTGCCCCAATCTTCCAAAAACAGGCCAGTTTTTGACCGACTTTTTCTGCGTCGGCAAAATTGGCTAAAAATTTGTTTCCTGGGGTAGTTTGACCTCCTGAACATGAATATCACATCCGCTAGGCCGAAACCTCCTGGCGCCCGCGCCACAGGCGCCGGCGCCAAAATACCCTAAATCACCGAATCCGCTGAAAGCTGATCAACTGGGATAGTTTGACCACCTCGACACAAATCACATCCGCTCGACCCGATACCTCCTGGCGCCTGCGCTAGAGGCGCTGGCGCCAGTATACCCCAAGTCACCGACGCTTGTGGCGCGGGCGGAGTTTCGGGCTAAGCGAATGTGATATTCATATTCAGGAGGTCAAACTACCCCAGGATGCAAACATTTGAGCCAAATCTGTCCACGGAGAAAAAAGTCGGTCAAAAACTGGCTCAATTCTGGTGGTTGAGGCAGTAAAGGCGGAAAGATCACTGTGACTGCCGCCATCTTACCACTGTCAGTGTGCTAAGGAACACCATGCTACGTGTCATGCAGATACAGCAACCCGTCAAAGTCACCAAACTATTGAAATTTCTCGATTAATCATTAATACACGCATTGTTCGAGAGAAGAGAGCATTGAAGCATGCATGAATGCCTTCGGTACGCAGCCACTAGCGAAAGTCCAGCGTATTGGAGATTCGGACGAGTTATCCTGAATGAAGGACTTGATGTAGAACTTGCCTGCCTATTTAGGTTTCATAAATACAATTTTTCTTTGTTAGATCCTATTGAAATGCCTAGGGCAAAGGAATCACACCAAACGACCGTCTTTCCTCTTCAAGTGCTTGTCGCGCGGCGTCGAAATAGAGAGTTTTTGGTGCTGTCCCGTAGTTCTTGCTCGCATATTGTTCAAAATCAATACTGGAAGAGAGGGTCCGGGATTATCCGACCTATGGATTTCGAGCTAGAGACCTACCAAGGCAACGGGCCAGAGTCATTGAGTTCTTGGCGGACTGTGTATGTGAACTTGCGCCATAACGTCCCCATCTTACTGCTTCCTGATGCCAAAATCTGCGCATGGTGGTACATTGCGGTCCATACTACCTTCTCCTACAAAGAGTGCGTTCAGAGTTCGCGATGACTCGCTACAACACGCTAAGACGCGTAGCAATTGCAACAGTAGCGTTTGGGTCGTTATGCTATGACGGGAGAATGCACCCTTTAGAGAGGGTACAATGCCAGCCGTTAGTGTATTGAGAGGGTGCAGGAGAACAGGACGATGGATACACGCTGCGTTGCACGTCACCCTCCCATTCTCCACCAAAACATTAGCGGCCGGCGCAGATCGATACCCATATGTGGCTAAGCAACGCCAAACCTACTATTATCTTACGCTCCCTCAAAACACGACCAGCCACCACCCGTGAATTCTGAACACAGCCTGAAGAGAACGCTGGCTAGCAGCATTGAATCCTTCACAGTGCTGTTTACAGGAGAGTCTTGAATCATACGTCTCCTTCCTCTTGATGCATGAAGAGCAATAGGATAGCCGTCGCCGGCGATCAATCCTTTCTCGGAGTGTGGCACGTAATTTACTCCCGTTCGGAATCTTATGACTTATTGAATGGGAAAGGGTCTTATACATTGCCTTGCAGAGGCCAGCCAATGCACGATCACAATACTTGCAAGCAATAGGGTGTGCGATGCGGGGCAGCCAGGGCACCCTCTCCACCAATAATGCCATTCCTATTCCGCTGCAACTGGTGGAAAAACCAATCTAGCTGCGCTCCAGGCTATGCCTCTCCGCTTCCGACGATTAGGCCTTGTTGGCCCAAGCCGGGGTTGGTCCACGCAGGATTTGACCCATGGACCGAGCGCGTGGTAAGTGTGCCATTTTTCATTGCACCACCTGCACCTTCAGTGACGCGTAGCTTACAACAAATGTCGACAATTTTAGCAAACTTTTGAAAATGCGATAAGCTCCAACCACTCCTATGCGTAGAAAGTTTTATTGACCCAAACACCATATTTATTTCGTCCTCAACAAAGGAACGTGCACGGCAGAAACCTAGTCACAATAAACAACAAATAAATACATATACTTTAAATAAAGGAGAACAAAAAGGCGATGATACAATTAACCACTCGTGATGAGCAACACGCATTCAAGTATAGAAAAGTTGAAGACTAGCGTGTACACGAGCGTTAGACAACAACTTTGTTCGCGAGACCGACTCTCGTGACCGTACACACACATTGCCAGCTCGAACTTCGACGCTTATGCAGGCATCTCAAACTGACGATTCGATTGCAAAACTGAAATCACTCCCTTCAATCTATGAATAACCTTTCAAAAAAAACAGTGAAAGAGAAATGGACCAGCATGTGCAAAAGAGCTCTTTGTCACAGCACATTTTCAAAGCCATCGATTCACTGGTTACAAAAATACAGCGCTGATCACATTTTTTCCTGCTTTCACCCGAAGAACTCATAAGAAGCTTAAAAAATAATGGAGCTCCACAAGGAAAACTCTTCCTTAAACAACGTCAATCCAAGAAAGAACTATTGTGATCTGGGTTGAGACTTTCTTAGCAAAATCCTCCCAAAGTAGTTAATAAGCATCACCCAAAAATTTGAGAGCTGTTTTTAATTTGAACTCAGGTCAAGGGCTTTGGAAATCACATCACTTCGGCGAGCAACCAAGACGGTCTAACTGAGAGAGCGTTCAGAGTTCGCGTCACAGCAATGATGCTCCAGTGCCATAGTTGGGAACGCAGCCGCAGACGGGTATCGATCGCCGCCGACCACACGCGTTCTCAGAGAGCACGGAGGGTAAGCACTGCCCTCACGCAGTATAGTCCCTTCTATAATCTCTCAAAACAAGCGGCTGGTGCTGATTTATACCCATCTGGGGTTGCATTCCCGTCTACAGCACTGAGGCGCCGTGGCAGTGCGTCGATCCGCGTCATCGCGAAGTCTGAGTGCTGTCTGAGTTAACATTCAGATAGTAAAGTGAAACTTACCTCTGGTCACATAGAGATAGAAGAAGTCCGCATACAGAACAGTCTGCACGATTCCAGCAACCACGGCGATAGGGTCGAAAAAGTTCTCCGTGTAGTATCTAAGAACGAAATTACTTAGTTTTGAATATTAATTTTCATGAGTGTGACTAATGACCAGATAGCGATGACCACCTTTCAAATAATGAACAAAAAAAATGAAGATAAGAAAAAAGGAGCTGAAAAAGCTAAACAAAGGGCCATTCACTCATTCTCACTTCCACTGCCTACATAAGACATCTAAAAAGTTTCAGCATAAGCCTCTTTGAAAGCACGGTGTGGACCTAATAGCTCTAAGAGCTTTGCTTCGCAATACATTCAACACTGGCTCTTGGTCAAGTAGTGTAAGGCAGCGTTCAGACTTCGCGACGGCAGAGCTTCGGTCGCGCCGACGCGATCGATGCGCATGCTTTCGACTGCATTGATCGCGTCGAAGCGACCGAAGCGCTGCCGTCGCGAAGTCTGAACGCTGCCCAAGGAAACTCTTCGAACTTTCCGGAGTCCTCAGGCACTAAGCGTAGTGGGAACATTGGACAATAAACGGATTCATATTTGCAAAAATGGTAAGGTCTAAAAAATAGAGCATAACAACTGCACAGAAAGTTTACAGCTACATGCGATGAAGAAAGAGAGTCCCTACAAATTGTGCCTAGTGTAATGGCCTTGTCACATTTATAGGAAAATTATGACTCAATGGCAGTCCCCGCGCTCAAGCATTCCGTGGAGGTCGTCTGTTGTTCAAGTAATTTGGTCCGCAGTCTCTAAGACTGTCTAATTAGTGGCTTCAGAGTAAGGAAGGAGGCGCTCCTGCCTCCATGAAAGAGAGTTCTGACGCCTCCGTAATGTCCCGCCCATTAAAATTTGGAGGCTATTCCCCGTGACGAGTTCAGTTTTCAGACCCTGTTTTTTCATGATTATTTTAATTGCTAGACGATATCAGCATGGAATGACGCGAACAAACGATTAGTGAGCCAGAGGTGGGATCGCTTTAGTGGCACAAGACGAGCAGGTCTCGAGAACTTGTGCATGAGGCTGTCAGGAGGTACTTACTTGGGGTGTTCTCCGATTCTTTTTTTTTCTTTTCTTCCATGGAAAGTCACTTGGCGACTGTATGATCCTAACTAAACACTAATATCCACAATATGCAGTAGCGGGGTTCGCCCTTAAGAGTTCAATCGCGCTAGAAGAAGGCTCCACGTCGTTCTTTCGTATTAACTTCCTACGCCCTCACTTTGGTATGGCAGCGTTCAGACTTCGCAACAGCGGCGCTTCAGCCGCGCGTTCGACAGCATGTGTATCGATCGCGTTGAACGTGCGACCGAAGCGATACCGTCGCAAAGTCTGAACGCTGCCAACAGAAAAATATCACGCCTGAGAAATAGTATTTTCTTGCGGTGTCACGACAGTGTCAAAATGGTAATGAACCGTTAGGACATCACCGTGTGCACGAATTATTTTCTGGAACTGCCAGTGTTACCTCTCCGCGCCACCGGGTCCACCCTTTTCTGCACTGTCCATGCCTTTTTCGCAAGTGTTCTAGCCTGGGAGTGACCCTACCATTTTGTGAAAAGGGTACGAGCGTACACAAACGATAGGTAGGCATCTTCACAGTAATTGGACGTTTTATCATAAACATAACATATAGTTAAATGGCGCTATTTACACCGTATGGCCCAATCATCCGGAATCGAGCCAGCTGACCGACTTTTTTCTCTGGACAAACTTGGCTCAAATGTTGTCACCTGGGGTAGTTTGACCTCCTGAATACGAATATCACATCCGCTTGGCCCGAAACCTCCTGGCGCCTCGCGTTACAGGCGCCGATGATTTGAGGTGTTTCGGCGCCGGCGCCAGGTTTTGGGCTAAGCGGATGTGATATTCACGTTCAAGAGGTCAAATTACCTTTGGAGACAGATTCAAGCCAATTTTGCCCACGGAGAAAAAAGCCGTTCAAGAACTGTCCAGATTTCGAATGATTGGGGGTAGTAAAGGGCAAATAGTGCCGGTTAAATTGACCTCGTGGTACCTATGAGTTTCAGAATTTGCTGGAGCTCGGTCCCTTCTGTTTCTCCTTTACATAAAATCCACCAATTTCATGAGCTATTTTGCGCTGGACAAAAAAAAGAGCTTAGAATGCTTCTGAGCTGTGGCATTTCTCACCTGAAGACCCAGTTCACGATGTACAGGGCACGGTAGGATCCAAGGGCGAATAAGTAGTGAGCGGTGATGGTTTCAGCATTGCCCGTACGCGATAGCATGAACAGTTGTGGCATAATAGCGACTGATTCAAGATAGATTGAAAACGTCCACATTATCTGTAAAATTGGAACTCAGAAACAGTATAACATAGAAAACAAGTTTCCATTTCAAATCGCCCAAAAAAAGCTTGCCTACCTCCATAAATGTGAATTCATGGTTTATTAAAAGAGCTAGGATAGCAGCAGGGATCACCAAAAACTCAATACGTAGAGAATCGTTGTTCCTGAAATTTCTCTTATAACAAATGGACACAAGGGAGCCTAATTGCAAAGTAAAAGACCTTTAGGCGTTACTTTATTTTTCTGCAACTTTTATCTATGAATATGATGTTCTAGAGGCGGAGATGGTGTAGTGACAAGTGGGGCGCTCACCATTCGCGCGGTCCCGGGTTCGAATCCCGGGTCGACTCCCGCCCAGGCCAACCAAGCCTTCTACCCTCCGGGGACGGTGAATTGGTACCAGATTCGTCTGGGAGGATAAAACACTGACTTGTACATCGGCTGGCCACCGCAAGTCATTGTATAGGCCACATCGATTCTGAATGGAAGTAGAATGCGTGCCGCATCCCACAAAGGGATTGATCAACGGCGAAGACTTTATCCTTTATCCTTTATGATGTTCTAAGAAATTGCACTCTCTGAAGAACTGTAAGGCCAGACTGGACCGTTATAGGTACAAGCCCACCTTCTAGCACAAGAAATTCTCGAATGAAACCTGAGTTATCAAAGAAAGGGATAAAAAACTAGTTATAGTTATATTTACATTAATATTTACCGCAGTTATATGAAGTTATATCCCAGGTTATATCACTCACTACACGACCCCCCCCCCCTGTACATACACAATAGACTCCATTAGAAAGTCTGCCCCAGACAGCCACACCCGTTTTGGGCACAAACATAATTTCCACTTTCATTACACGTATTATACTCTATAAACGCTACTAACACCTTTATTCACAGCTTTACTTCACTCATATACGTTATTGCGAGACTTCCATCTAATGATACACTTGATTTCGCCCGCGACGACTCCGCCCACTTATCAGATGATTTACTGAGAATTTTATCGCTTTATAACTTTATTCCGATTTCGTCCTCAGAGCTGAGCTGCAAGACTCACTAAAAACTACTCTCAATTTTGTCACAATTGCATGAATGTTTACATTGGGCGAAATGAACTGAACATGGATCATTCCGCAAGCGCAAATAATTAAAATACTTCTTCGTTGCTTATTCATAAGGGTTCATATTGTTATTTTCACCATCCAAGGTTAACAATTTGCAAAGGCTTCGATCCTACTATTCAAGTAAGAGATCAATAAAGCAGAAATCTCTACGTGAGAGACCGGTGCAGTGTATTTCAAGTTTGTTGGTGAGGTTAACCTTATTGAAAACGGAGGCTTGGAAAAAGCCACGATTCAAGCCCCTAGTTGCTTTGTGGAGTTCCCTTCAGATTCAGTACTGGTTGAAGACGTTCACCGAAGAAATAAAAGTTACGAACCTGTCATAAGTTGCTTTGAATTTGACCCACATCAGGTAAACTGTTCCAATCGAAGTAGCGAGGAAGAACACCTAAACAAAAATAATCAATTTACTGACGTTGAAATGATAAGAGTTTGACAAGTAAGGCAAACAACATTCAACGGGAATATTCTAAATGGTAACTATTACACAGACAGACCCTAACCAGGGAAGTTCGCTGACGTACGAACTTTGAATGGAGACCTGGGTAGATCGATAGTCTATAAGGTTATTTACAAATATAGATAGCAAAACTGCAACCTGCATTTCACAAGCAACTTATGAGCAGGTAAAGTTTGTATGGTGCAGTAGGGTGGAGGCTTGGTGGTGAGCTGTGAAGCATAAGCGAGGAATCGCATACGTCGAATCGAGTCGTGGTGGTTCAGTGGTAAGGTTCGACGTTCGACGACTCGATTCGACGTATGCGATTCCTCGCTTATCACAGCTCACCACCAAGCCTCCACCCTACTGCACCATTACAAACTTTACCTGCTCATAAGTTGCTTGTGAAATAGGTTGCAGTTTTGCTATCTATATTTGTAAATAACCTTATAGACTCTATCGATCTACCCAGGTCTCCATTCAAAGTTCCATGGTAAGTTGGCGGACTTCCCTGGTAAGAGATGTCCTTATTGTCGGTTATACTATCACTCGGCATAACGGGGGACCTCGTCTATTGAATAAGGAAAAAAGAAAACAGAGAAATTTTCCCAGAGAAATGTACTATCCCGGAACCTCACGGTTACCCGAATGTTTGAAAACAAGAAGAAGCTCCAAAAAGTTTATTTCCCAAGGGTTCAAAAGGCGCAAAAGATAAATATTCTAGAGACATTTCTAGTCTTCTCAACTCCTTGGTAAAAACTTCTTAGAGCTTTTTCTTGTTTTTACATTCTGAAAATTGGTCGTAGAATATGGGGAAAAAAGAGATATGGGGCTGCTCACCTAGGGGGTAGAATTGCTGTTGGAAAAATCCCTTTTTGCCCAAAGTAGCTGATTCAGCGACCCTCCTTAGGCGTGGACTGCTTCACACACTGCGTCTGAGCGTTTTATAGAAATCAGCGTTGCGACAGAGTCGGGATTTGGGAAAAATAGGGCTTTGGGCGAAAAGGTTAGTATAAGTATTGATTAGCCGTTTCGGGAGAACGCTGTTTTGTATGGCATTTTGAGCGAAAAGGGAAGTATAAGGGCCTGAAAAGCTGATTCGCCCGAAACGCTGATTCTCCAAAACGCTAGCGACCGACGCCGTTTGATACTTATAAAATCCTATCCGCTCATAAGGCCGATTCCCTCAAAGCGTGGATTCTCCAAAAAAGCCGAGTCAAAGTATGAACGCAGCTATAGATAGGTATTCTCGTCCCCTTCAAGTACAACCAATTTCACACAAAAAAGCTCCCCTCAGATACTGCGCCGGAAATACGCTTACAATTTCCACTACAACAGAATACTTGATGGTAGTATAGGCTACTCCGTCCACAAAAGGAAATGTGGCAGAGCAGTTGTTCGGTAACGGGGCACATAAGGAGCAAGACAAGGCGGGCGAACCAAGCCACCAGTTTTCTTATTAGGCCTCTTTCTACTGCGCAATCCATTCACACGACTTGGGAATCGCGCGACTTCGACAGGCCGTGCTACACTGTTAGTTGTTGGACGACTGCAAGTTCCAATTCAGTAACTTCAATTTGAAACCTCTGTTGAGCTTCGAAGTGGTCCGATGATTAGCGGTAGAGCTCAGTCGGTCGCAGCCGCGCGATGAATCACTTCAAACACGAAGTATGAACGGCCTGGTGTACGGACCTCACGATTAGTCTGATCGTGTGCCCCCCCCCTCCTTCCCCATCAACTGACTGAGCCAATTATGTAGGTACGATCAGGTAGAGAAAACATTTTAAAACCAAAGGAACAGAATGTTCTTGCACATACTCTAAGGAATACATCCAGTAAAAATACTTATTCAATGAGTAAAATTAACTACGAACCTTCATTACAGAGTTGTAGACGGAGATGAAATTGGTAAATAGATCCAAATAGCGAGACACGAAAACGATAGCAAAAAGAACTTGAGATCGACCAGATAATCCTTAAATCATGCACAGTAGATAACTTAGGGTAAAAGGAAAAAAGAAGAACAGAAACAGTAATAATAAGTGAACTGACCCTCACAACTTCTTGATTTCCATATTTTGTGGAGTAGAATAACGATAGCGACCAAATGGGCGAGATCGGCCGAGAGTCGGAAGATGTTCATTCTCGCCACCCAAGTACTCTGGAATGTTCACAAATTGTGCAGTACCATAAATCATACCGAAACCATCACCGTATCGAACATTACCAATTAATCTTAGTTATCTTTAACTAGTTTCTTCTAGAAGCACACTTTACAAATTCTGGTGACAGAGACACTAGAAAATTCCGACTAATCGCTCTCAAACTTGTAATAAAGAGCAATGGCTGAGATATGCATTGATTATTATTGAACAGTAGACGTATCCAAGCCGTGAGACGAACTGAATGGGTTCAGGTGTAGCGCAGGAAGCTTTTGGAGCTTGCCGCTGTCAACTTTGCTTGCAACGCTCCGAATCGTTCTGCTCAAACAGGAGTGCTTAGTCTAGTTCGCTGCGAATGAAGGGGCGTGCCAGGCGCTATGAATCTGGCGCGGCGCCAAAACTGTCACTACCCGTTGCTCAATCGAGCGACTGAAAAGACTGTGTCACATCATTCCTATCACTCGTTTTCTATCAACTGTTGCCGCATAGGCGCTTCAGCAACTGGCAGAGAACGGATTTGGCGCCGTAGCCATTAGTACTGCTTGACACGCCCCTTTGTCCACAGCGAAATAGGGATCATATCGGGGTACGGAGCATAAATTCCAAGTCCAAGGCGGCGAAATACAGGTTGCCAAAGAAATGACAAACGCAGCATTCACATTAGGACCCAATCCATTCAACACAACAATGCTTCAGCGCATTGATTGTAGATCATCAGTCTCGAGTTGCGGAATCGCCGCAACTAGCAGTGCTTACTAGCTAGTTGGCTCAATACAGCGCAGCATGCTGAATCAACTGGTAAGCTGCTCCTTTGGCCGTGATTCACGACTAGTGACACATAGCTCCAGAAAAATGCAGTAAAATCAAGGTTCCTAACAGATCACGATGATGAGCTACCTTTACTACAATTTGGGTGGCGCTGGTGTCACACATCAGGTCAAGTGGTGTAATAGTTCGCCGTCCTGCTCTGCCCTAGGAGTAGGAATGCCCTCAGCTCTGGTCCCAAGATATTTCTCTGATTTTTGTATATTCGAAAAAGAGATTATATCAAAGGGATGGAGAGTTTTGTCCAAGCCTTGGAAAGGGAGGACTTCACAGCGGGTGGTCCAGCTTACTCCAGAAAAGCACAAAGGAAATGCAGTTACACTGAAAGTGTGTGGTTTCACAAAGTTTGCTGCGTACATACCCCTCTCCGTAAGGGTACACGATACCGATCCCCAGGGACTTGAATACGGTCCCCTCCTTGAGAAATTCACAGCGATTATGCATAAACTCCTTCCACTCATAGGCTTATAGAATACAGTTTTTACCGCATATGATAGAAGGAAAGTTTCAAGGCACTGATAATCTGCACCATTGTGGCTCCAAAGCCCCCCCCCCCTTAGCGCTGGTGGTGCTTCCACGAAAAGTTCCCTACGGACCATCACTCTACAGGTCGGAAATCAGAATCCTATTCATGAGGAATTTGCAATCATGGGCATGCTGGAGCGATGTGACGTACTCCAACTCAACGACATATGAGATAAACTTGGCCACGGGGAGGGGTATTTTGCATTTTTACTGCTTCACTACTTCCGGTTTCACAAGTCTCTGGTGAAACTTGTGAACCTTGTGAAGCTGGAGCAAGCTCGTCTAGCCACCATGGTAAAACGTGTCAACTCAAGAAAAGGCTATCTAGATGGGTCGACACATCGATGGAACAAAATGCCCCCCCCCCCTCCGTCGCCGAACTGCGCCCATATGTACACCATACCTCCTAGATGGGGAGAGCGTGGCTCCGTGCTCCATGCGTAGTGACGGCTGTGCTTTTAATGAATACAGCTGCTTTGGATAATCGTACGCATGCCTTTCTTTATCACAAAACTGAATGACAGACTGGCAAAAGGGATTATCCCTCAAGAAAAAAACGCTTCCTACCCCAGATCTAAATGAAGCGCGCAACCACGCCCTGTCCATCTTCGAGATAAAGAGTAGTTTTGGACTCAGCTACCAAATATGCCAATACCAAATTTTATGAACTAATAGTGCAATTAGTGCGCACGGAATTGAACTGTACAAACCCCACGAGACCAATGTTATACAATTCCAGTCTAGAGAATTGCAAGATTTCATAGAAGCTGAGAAGCGAAAGCAGGAAGTAATAATAGTTTCCAATTCACTCAAAATCAATAACTGCAATGCGCTAGAACAAATAATATTAAATGCTGAAAAAAATATGAATAGCAGGCATTAATTTCCCATAAAAAGTGCCGTATCATGACACTATAGCAAGAGGACTGTCAGGTGTAATGGGAAATTCATCTGAATTTCTCAGATGTGAATCACTAACGATATTGTTTCAAGAGGAATTCCTTCATGCGATAATAATTACGAAGTCATGTGAACATTTAATGTGGAGTAATTCAAATAACAACTTCAAGAAGTCTATCACGGAAACTGAAGAATACCCAGGTAAAAGGATAAAGAAAGGATTGAAGAACGAGTCTGGGATGAAACGCAAACAACAGGTAAAAAAGTCATACAAAAGAATACCCGAATAATCATGATAGTAACGGAGAAGTAAAATAGGTCAACGAATCTTTGGTTATCACGCGATCTGATCCTGATACCAGATCGAAGAGTGTGCTATCCTGAGAAGTTAGAATTGAGCACGATCGTTGGCCACGTCACCGAAATAATGTAGCGGGCGCGACGCCGGCCGCCACGCCCTCGACGGCAATCTTTTTTGCAATTAGAGCTGCTTACCATTAGTCTCAAAGGAAATCGCATCAGATTTTTTTTACTTTATTATAGCATTGCAGATAAATGCTAATTTTACATGCGTTGCGTCTAGCACTCTTCTACAAAGCAAATTTTGCTTTTCAAGAAATCACTTCCAAATTACGTATTTCCGCTGCTTTTGCCACGCATCTGATATGGTCTGTATCTTGGCCCCGTTTATGATTACATTACACTGAGAGCTAGTCGGGCTCTCGCTGGCTAATTGCCTTTATTGGATTCCACCCATCACGTGTCTGCTGGGAGGCTCTTTTTTGTTGGTGTACTACTGCATATGGTCTTGGCTTGCCACGTGAGTTTGACATAGGAATTTCCAAGATGAGGTTAATAGCATAATAACTGTAGGGTAACTCTTCTCCAAAACCTTACAGGCTATGGGATGGCTCGTCATTGCTCAGGCGTCAAGCACTATGTTGCGGAAAATGGCCCTGTGCGACCTAAAAAAAGTGTTCAAGTGGCCCTCACTCTCGCCCTTACCTAAGGAAAAGTAGCCCCACCACCAATGGGAGACTCCGTCCACCTCACACTGAAAAATTCGTTAGCGTCAAAAGGGAGCCTATTGGCACTATATGGCGCCCGTTGCAATTACCAAGTCATATTCGCGACCAAACCTTACCGGGGAAGGTAAACAGGTCAGCTCGGTCATTTGCGATGAGATGCACATTGTTGTACTCATTTCGAGACGAGGAACTCAAAGCTATCACAAGAATGCTGAGTTATGGGCAAAAGTCGGACCACGGACGGGATCCCGTCCGTGGTCCGACTTTTGCCCATAACTCAGCATTCTTGTGATAGCTTTCGAATCGCGTACTGCGGCGTTAAACAGCAGTTAACAAACAATATCAGCTTGGAACTCAAAACTATCTTCAAAATTTGCGGAACGATTCTCTGAGCGAGTTATGGAGGTTTATCTCTACGGTTTTTTTTGCTTCAAAGCGCCGGCGCGTTGACACCTGTAGCGCGACACATAACGTTCCTCGTGCAAAATAGGTAGACTATTCATGTTTAGGGGGCCAAATCACCTCTAGCGATGGCCCTCTAGCAAATTCTGAGGTTCTGACGTTTTGAAAAATTGACAGTTGATTTTTTCGCTTCACGGACGTTGTAAAGGGGGGGGGGTCGTATTTACTTTCTGGCCTTTCTAGGAGTGGTGGGAGTGGTGGTTGACTTTTCGTGATTTTCCTGTTTCATGCGTACTATATACCCCCCCCCCCTCGCTCGACAGCAAAATTTTTGGGAAAAAGTAGGGAAGTTTTCGGGAAATTTTGGAAAAAGTGGCAGGAAGTTGGGGAAAATCTGAGAATTGGTAGAAGGGGGGGGGGGTCGTATTGTCTCGCGGCTTTTCCTGTTTCACATGTGCTATTTACCCCCCTGCTCGACGGCTCGATTCGATGAGGAAGGGACAGGGGGGGGGGCGTACGGACACGACTAAAATCCCCAACAAATGATGTGTCCTGATATGTATTAATAATAGATACTAGCACTAGCCACTGGTGATGACCGGTTTTCGAGCTGAAATGACTTTTTAGTCTTATGTGTTCACGTCTCTTTTATGTCTTCACGCGAAGAACAATACCTGGCTCACTTATTCGTGCCGTCTGCATCATTTTCCTGATTACTAGGAGGAAATTCCATCCCGAGACCAGTCATCGATGGTAGGTGAGCTCCAGTCTGCTGCTAATTACCCATAGAATAGCCCACATTTTCCAAGTTAGGTCGAAATATCAGATTCGGCTAGAAACTTGCTAACAGTGGTAATTAGACCCGCCGAAGGCGAATATCGCACAATTTCATTGCAAAAACCGTTTTGACATGTGCTGCGAGGGACACAAGCGCAAGCCTTTCAGGCCACGAATGGTCTACACTTCCGAAAAAAAATTGGTTCCCCTACGAAAGTGCAGAGTCTTTTTTTCCTTTTTCCAGAGTTTCTTTTCAAATATCAGGCCTCGGTTGGAAAAATTCAATTTTTGGCAAAATGGCGCACGAGGACTACAACATTTTCCTTGCTCTTCCTGCAGGACAATAATCTATTAGGTCGTTGCAAAAGAAATGCAGGATTTTGTTTTTTGTATTTAATACTTATTTTATTCCAATAAAATGTAAGTGTTATATATCATTCGAAAGCTTATCTAATGCTCTTTCTAAATGATACTTCAAGATTGGTTGTAATTCTTTTTAGAGGCCACGAAATCGTTGAAGGCGT